AAAATCTTGTTTTAGCTTTTGGATTTTTTTGTGCTGGATTTTTTTACGTGTAAATTTCCAATAACATGTCATTTCTATAAGATTTGTTTAAAACCATGTACCTCTTATTGGATGGTATAAAAATGCTACATATTTTGTAAACAAATCTGAGCAAAGTGTGTGTGCATATATTCTGTATATTCATATATGTATATTCTGTGTATATATACACTAGCGTGTATATATACATATATACACACACACACACATATATATATACACACATGCATAAAGTGTGTGTATATATATACATACCTATATATCTATATATATATAAGTGTTTTCTCTTCCAGGCTAGTGAAAACAATGTGGTGCATTGGCGTTTCCCTCCCCTGCCCCCCCACAACGTAATGACAATTGCCTCTAAATGAGTGAATTAAAAAAGAGTCCATTTAAGCTGAGTGGTGTGCCTTCCTGTGTAAGGAGCCTGGCCAGTATTTGTTACTTTTGCCGTGGATATGTGAATTCAGAGCAGATAAGTATAAATCTTTAAACTTGGTATGTTTGTTTGAAGTGACAGGCCTGGTTGACGCAGGTAATATTGTTGTCATAAATACTTAGACTGTGTAAGGCATTTGACTGGTACTGCATAATATTTTGACTGAAAACCACAACAATACAAAAATCAACATGGCACACATTAAATGGATTAAAATGTGGCTAACTCATAGGTCTCAATGTAATTTTAAATGGTGCTTAATTGAGTGTATTTCCATCAGGATCTTCCAGCAACTGTTCTTGGCGTTGCTTTACTTAGCCTTTTTAATAGGCTGAAAAGAAACTAAATCTACTTGTAACAAAGGTTGCAAATTAAATGGGTACGGAAGGGAGATCAGACTTGTGAATTATGAAAGAAAAAACTGATACAGATTAGAAATACTTGGCAAGCCAAGGGCAAGTAAAGTATTTGCATTTTAGTGGAGCCAAATGTGTAGCATAACATTGCCCACTTAATAAATAACGTTCAGGCCACAGGTGAAGGGCTCTTTTGGAGGAAAAGTGTGTCTGAAAAGATGAGGATCATTATATTTTACTGCTTGAACACTACTTCCCAACACGATTCTGTGTAGCTATGCCCCCTGCTAGGAACGCTGAAAGCAGTATTCTTTGCTCTCCTGAAGGATATGCTCAGACAGGGACCATCTCAGAGAACACCTCTAGCTGCCACTTTTGTGGAGGTCACACTGTGTTTCGAATGATCTATTGTTTTGTGGCTAAATAGGAGGCAGCTGGTCTTTTGTAGAGGATAGGTGAGGGTGCTGTTGGGAGTTCTGGGTTTCTTCTCTTAGCTCTGCCAAGCAGCCTGGAGTGCCAGAAAAGCGATTGCATGTTTTGTTCCAAATTGAAACATATGCATTTATTTCTACTTGTGGGGATCCAATCTAAGCACTTTCTCAAAGTCCCACAGACTGCTAAGGTGAAAAGATTCATGAAAATCTCTCCAGTTCTTTTTGCAACATCAGTAATGAGGTGAAAACACTGCATTCAGGTTTTAACAATGTCTATTTTAAAATGAGGGTTAGAGAAAGGAAGATGCAAGACTGCCTGGAATTGCTGTCTAGCAGTTCTGACCACAGATCAGTAATGCCATTTAAGCTGCGTATTTGTTGGGCCAGCGAACAGGAGCTGTTATTCTTTCTGTTGGTAAATTTCCCAGTGGAACATGGCAGGCAGGGTTACTCTCTTGGATTCAGAAGGATACAAGAGATGATGGGGCAGGCTATTGAAAGCTCAGTAATTAAACCAGGACCATTGCTGAGGCTCATGGGAAGACGCCACATAATTATTTGGGGCAACTGCTGCCTACGGACTTCAGCCTGTTCCTAAATTCCTGTGTTGGTTCCTTGCTGCAAACCAAATACTGGTGGTTGAAGTCCCTTCCTCTAACGTTAAGAGAACGGAGGAAGACAATGACCCCCAAAGACCCGTGTGTTCTTGAACCTGCATTTTTTTTCCTGTTAGCACCAAGAGTGTTGAAGAACTAGATTGCACATGGTCCTACACGTGACAGTACTCTTGCTGCTACACTTCTGTTCTTCTCTGAGGATTTCCAGAACAGCTATCTTATCTCTCTGCCAGCTTAAAGTAATTCCCCACATCTTCCAGTATGATTTATTTGCTTCTGGAAATTGGCACAACACACCATCGGCACTCTCCAATGCCAGTTTTAGACAGGAAGGTCTTTCTTCAGTTGCCTGAGTCGTAGCAGAAAATAAACAGGACCTGTTTGTGTACTGCTGTGGCCATGTCCATAAGGTTCCTGCATGCTCTTCTGAGGCAGTGTTGTGTTGAAGTTGCCAGATTGATCGTTGCATTAGGAGGTTTCAGTTGCCTCTGGAACAGGTACAGCAATATGGCATATGGTATAGGACTGATAAATGTGACTGTTTTGAGTAAATGTGAATGGTGTAACAGACCAAGCCAAAGGGAAGAAAGAAAATTAAATACCGTTTAAGGGCTTACTATGTTACTCTCCGTCACATGCACTGTTAAAAGGCTGCAGGCTAAAGCTATGAGCTGTCAGGTGATCCGAGGTGTATTCAGTTCTCCAGTCAGCTGGACAGGCTGCTTCAGCCAGAAACACACTGGTTTTATCACCACTGTCTGTGTTTAGAAGTGCTCCCTTAGAAGCCATCACACTAGGAAAGAGGTGGTTTCTTTCACTGCCTCTCTGAGAAAGATTGACATCATTTTTCTAGTACCCAGCTATTTGCAAAGAAAATACTGCAGTGGTTGGGAGTGAGCTGGAGGCAGCACAAAGCTCATTGTCTTGGGCTTTTGTTTGAGACTCTGGAGCCTATGTGGAAGCTGAAAGAAAACACAAAGGTGGGCAGTGATGCACAGTTTTTATGACAGATACTGAAATGGTGGAGATACCAGAGTGACAGAAAGATACATGGAGCTTTTGTCAAACCACTGAACCAGACTTCAGTTTTTGAGTAAATGGTAAAAAGCTTATAGAAATTTAAGTAAAATGGAAAACTGATTACCGTTGCTGCTCTGAAGTGTTGCTTTTTAAGGAGTATTTTGCACTTTTTTATTTGAAGTACTTTACCAGCTGGTTAAGTCCAAAAAGTTTTACTATTCCAAAACTAGATGAGGTACCTTCCAGTTCTGTTCAAAGAGAGCAATCAGGTGCCTATTGAAAGGGTAATGTTATTGGAATGCACAGTTTTAAGCTCTGCCATCACCAAGCATAAATCACATGTTTTTCTCTGTGGAAACCTGAAATACCGTCTGAAATGCATGTTCTTTTTTTTTTTTGGTCTTACTTAATACAAACATGGTCACAGGCATGTAATCTGGCAAGATCTGTTTTGGTTCTCACCTGTGTGCCTAAGAACCAGAACTCATGGAAAATGTGTTCACATACCTGCAGTGGAATTAAATGTGACTTGCATTCAGTGCTCATTAAGTGGACAAAGCTGTGGAAGCCTGCTCTGCTTGACTGACAGTGTACTTGTGATAATTTCCATACAGAGAATCTGATGGCAAGTCATGGTATCACCTGAAGGTTGTAACTTCTGTGGTGGAATTGACTTCACAACTTGTCTGATTGGTTACATCTCATTGTGATACCCAGAATCGCAGTTCATAAAAAGATGGCCTGCGGCAACGATTTTCTAGCTGTGGAGTAAAGGACAAAGCTGCTAGAGAGGACTGCAGTAGAGACCTTGCTGCTTCTCTTTTCCAGGTATAAAATTTCCCATGCATTTTTGTAGGGCTTTTGATTCACTCAGCAACAGTGCTAATTTTCAGGAGTGTAATAAAACTAATCCGGAAAAACTTTCAAAAACAACAATCTCCCTCTTGCTATGAGGAAGTTCACAAGCTGAATCTGTCAAACTGGTATGTCTCTTCTCTTTTTGGAGTCCAGTGAGCAGGCAGTGCTGGGAAGTAACAGGTTTTGAGCAGTCCTGACACTTCCAATCTACATTTCCTTCCAAGTGAACTGTAAGGAGGAAGAAAAATACTATGGCTGCTGCAAGCTGTTCAGCATGAATGGTGTGTGACTGGGCTCAATGCCAGAAGTAGAACTGTTGGGAGTTGCTCTTTGCAGGTATTACTGGGACTGCCACTTCTAAAACATGAGGCAGGTGATCTGTAGGTGGGCTAGTATAATGAGAGTACAGATGACGACTTAAAGGGGGAAAATACAAATAAATGAGATTTGGAAATAAAGACCGTAGTAGCAGAGAGCAGGAATGCCTGATGGACTTTTTTGTACTCATGTGCCTCAACATACTAAATCTGACAGTACAGGTTGAAGCTGTTGCTCATCTCTGTTCCAGCTCTGGTGTGACAACCATCAGGTTGTCAGCTGCAACACAATGGTTCTCTGGAATGCTGTTTCACTATCCATCTCCCTCCTTGTTTTATTGAAGGAAGGCAGTTCTTCACAGAAAGTAATCCCTCACATAAATGTGGCCAGAATAATTGGACCTAGAGCAGGTAAGCAGGCTAAGTTAAGATCATTTTGATGATGTTAATGCAAGTCAGACAATTACTCCTGACTTGAGGGCTCCCTTAGTAATTTTTCTGTCTTGCACAGAGGGAAACATACAGAATATTTGAAGCAGCCAGTACCAATACAGAATAAATATAGCCCCATTCTTCCATATGGCCCCTTTCTTCCTGATGGGACCTAGAAAATAGCTGAAATAGTTGCTGATAGTGGATGACTGCCCAGTGAAGGTATTTTGTTTGTACAAGTGGAAACTAAATAGACTGTCCTTTTTCCCAAGTTACCTTCTTGTAAGTGGTAAGTAAGACCTTTCATAAAGGGGATTGGTACCAAGAATGCAAGTACAGCTTCTGCAGTATTTTAGAAGATGCTTAGTCTAGTGCACAGCATATGTGGGAAACAATTATTTTGTCTCTCCAGTTTGCTCATGTGTCCTGTCCACCTAACCACAAAGAAAAGAGACTGAAAGAAAGGGGCATTTATTAGGAAAAGAAAGTAGGTATTTCTGGGTTTAATTATTAAAGGATAATGTATTCATTCTTTCTTGAACGTGAGTGTACAGAACTAACATACAGGAAAGATGTGACTATATCCTCCTTCCAGTGCTGAAACGGACTTGGATTTTCTTCCCCAGTCCTTGCTCTTCATTTCCTCTTCTAAGGTTTAGCAGACGCAGTCCTTTCCTCTCTCCACTGGGCTTTCTTCTCCAAGTTTATGTTTGTAAGAGTTTCATGTCTTTTTACAGCCTGCAATGTAATAAGATCATCAGTTATCACCTGAAGGACCACAGAATTGAAACTTGAGTTGATGGCTTACAAAATATCTGGCCTACTATCCTTACTGAGGCACAGTTCTGTCAGCAGTAATGCCAGGAAGCAAGAGGGGTAAAATAAAATATCCAGAAACCATTTAGGCTGAAAGTAACTACTTCTCTGGGAATAAATTAAAACCTTTTGTTAAAGCAGTAGAAGATATGTTCTGTGTTTCTGGTCAGTATATAATACTAATCTCCAATCTTCACAAGTCACAGGCACTAGAAACAAAAGTTAAACAGAATCACAGAATCTTCTGAAATGGAAGGACCATCGAGCTGACCCATCCAGGGATTGAACCTGTGACCTTGGCGTTATTAGCACCATACTGTAACCAACTGAACTCATCTCAGGAAACATAAATAGTTCCAGCTCCTTTGAAAACAAGGTTTCCAAAGTAGCTGTCCTCACTTCCTGGTGTTTGCATTCCTACTGCTCCAGTACAGAGGAAAATATTCTGGGAATTGTCAGTGTTTGATCTCTTCTGCTAAAGCCAGGGAAAAACCTTTGCCCTGTTTCATTTCAGAGTGCTGCATCCTTTTCATTTTAATAGACAAATGCTGACAGAAATGTCATTTGACATTCAGCAATTCACAGTAACTGGGATTGAGACTGTCACCAGTTTTAAGGTTTCTCTAGAACACTTAGCAGTCCATAGAAACAAGATCCGAACACTGTCATCAGAAGAACTGCTTCAGAGAAAGGCAGCATACAAAGAAGGTTCTTCTGTGCATGCAGATGGTTTAAGCGGAAAGGTTTTTTTTTCTTTTAAAGGAAGCACATGCAGTCTTAACAGTGACATCATCCTTTTCCAGTGAGAATTAGTCAATGAGGGTCTCTTCTGGGGAACTAGGAGAACTTCTAACATTTTTGTTCAGTGATAAAATGAAAAAAAACACAAAAAACCACGAAGTCGCAAAGCAAGACAGTACTAAAAATCTGTAGAGTAACCAAGAAGTTTATGTTAAGACTGATTTGCACTCAGCAGCCAAAAATCTGTGCTTACCTGCTTCCCTCTAATCACCATGATGATGCATCCCACTATTGTCAAGGCAATCATTACATAGCTGAACTTCACACGCAGTGTGGTCTTTGCTGCTCTGATCGTTTCAATCCTCAAGAAATAAGAATAAAAGAACAGACTCATTATCCAAGACCTAAATAAATCACTTGACTAATTGTTTAATTTCTCCTAGCGTGCTGTTGAGGTAGTTTTTTATAATGCTAATAGTTCTTGGCTCTTTTCACAGAAAAAGTTTTACAAGATGGGAAAGGCTGATCCCAGCTACCTTGGGACATACTTGGTCACAAAGACATTCCTATCAAAGCTGGAAACCAACCAGCTTTTTCATCTGTGGTTACTTCATTGTTCAGAGACGGTAATGCCTTTGCAGACCACTTGACTGCAATGCAAAGGAGGAAGGCTGCAGCATTTAAGTATGTATGTTCATTGTGGAAAGAACAGGAAGACAGGGTTTAGTAATGCAGTGTCTTCCTTACTGTTCACTCCCTCTGCTCACTACCACCTTCCAATATCTGCAAAGCCGGGGAAAGCTCCATAGTCTAACTGTGATGTATTTAGCATTGTAAAACATTCATTCTTCTCTCAATAGCAGAGGTGTGGTAAAAACCATTTGTGAGCGAGAATAACATACAGAATTTAAGAGCTGGGATTTTCTTGGGCTGAGGGAAGCATTTTCACAGCTCAGCCATTTCTACTTCCTGAACTTCACAATAGTGTCATTTATGACAAAGTCTGTTTTCCAGCAAGGCATGTTCCTATACTACAGGATTTGACAGATGATACACTGGCTGGTGGGTACAATACTCAGAAATTCTGAAAAGGACTTGGTAAAAGACAAGTGGTTAGCACTTCCCTCCTCCTAGAATAAATAGTCTTCAAGTAATCTGTTTTTGTAAGAAACTAAGGAGGTCTGGAGGAACGGAAGCTTTCCACCATCAGATCTGGACAGAGGAACCCTTTATATCTTTTTTTTTTCTCTCCATAATTTCAGGGGGCTTACCTAGCCACACCAGTAGCTACACTACTCCTTTGGGAAACCTGTTGCCTAGTCTGCTGTTATCTTTAAAAACCAGAAGTCTTCCACAAGAAGAGTAGCAGTTATTAACACCTTCCAGCTGTACATGTGAAGAGTTAAAAGAAAAGACCATTTATTTTAAGTTGGGTTAAACTCTGAAGATCATTCTACCCAAATGACATCTTGGTTACAGCAAATTTTGGGTTAGAGGAAAGCAAGAAGGGCCAAGGAAGCGTTAATGCTTTTTGGATGCACTTCGCACAATAACCAAAGACTTGTAGCCTGCCTATATATTTAATTCTCCTTGCAGAATATGGAGCAGGTGACTCCCTTCTCAAGGAGGCCTGATATTCTCACTGATTAAATTTACCACGTTATAAAGTTCCAGAAGACTTAAAAAGCATCCACAATGCATGGTGAAAAGAATAAATGCATCAAACTAGCTAATTACACTCCAAAACTGACACAGATAATGGATTTAATGGAACTGGGAAATTATTACTGTACACAAACATGAGTGAATATGAAATCTTTTACTACACTTTGACCCTTACACTTGGAAGAAGAAAAAGATACTTAAGGATCCATGATAGTTCAACATGGTAAATCACACAAGACCTGAGAGCTGAAAAGAGTTTTGCTCTTGTTTTTGTCAGAGTATTGATTTGATTGCAAGGCTTCTGATCATAGGGAACAAACACATCCATCTACAATGAAACTAATAGTTAATTTTAGCATCTAGGTTATTTGTTTCTGCTAACAATCTACAATGAACACCTGAGTGCAAGCTGCAATTAAGCTGAAATGCACAGAAGCAAGATTAAAACAACTGTGCTAATTAATTTTGGAAGTACCTTAGATGTGTTAAGAATATATATGAGAGCAAAAGGTAGATATCTGAACACTTAAATCTGCACTTAAATCAAGTCAGTGGCTAAGATTAATATTTGTTTAATAAATGAGTTACTTCTGATCACCACATTTTACAAGATTACCGAGTTATATCACAAGCCCTTACAACCCACAATTAATTAATCTCAGAACAGGAAAACAAGTTTTTCTGTGTTTATAGTTCTCAACTGTCGTCTCAGATTTGGCTGAATTACTTGTCTAAATAAAAAGAATTCCTTATGCATTTGCACAAATGGTCAGCTTTTACCAGAATTTGGTTTGTCCTTTCAATAAACTACTGAAATCAATCACTGTTAACTTTGTTTTCATAAAAACCCTCATAAATAGGTGTTTGGCCTGTGAAAATATATGAATTGATAATATACACCTGTATGTATTTCAAATGTAAATTTAAGAAAAAGGATTCAATACAAAAATGGAAGGATTCCATTTTAACAAAATTTATTTGTTGTCACACACTGAGATACATGGGTGGATTTCCAATTCCCATGCAGTTCATCTAAAAAACCAGAAAATATTTAGAGGGCAGCTACATTGTTTTCTTACTCAAGTACTACAAGAATTACTGTATCTTTTTAATTTAAATAAATACTTTAAAAGCATTATAAGCATGTCTTAAAGGATAACTATACTACCGTTAGCAGGTTTTTTTAAACTGATAGTTGCCAATCTGTTGATAAGTTTGATCTTCATTTTAGGTAGGCAAACCAGAACAACCAGTTTTATTTTCTACTTTTCACAGAGGACAAAGCATTGTCATTTGGACTCTAACAACAACAGGGAAATTTTGACTAAATATATATTGTTAGGGAGCCCTTCCCTCCACTGTTTGTTAGTTTAAATTCCAAGGCTAAAGAAAGTTGGCCCGTGCTCTCTAGATATTAATTAATAAATATTTTATGTAAGATTCAATTATTTTATAGTATATCATGAAAATTTTCCACAAGGGGAGGCTGACATGTAAAGAAAAACACTAGAAAAAGCTCACACTAATCTTTGAAAAAAGCTTTTTAATTGTAAGACGAGTGAAAAATGGACTGATCTGTGATGTTTTTCTAATAAAACAACTGATAAATGCTGGTCATCCCTTTGCAAAACAAATCGAGAGGGATATATTATCTCAGCACAACAGGGTCGCTCAGGTCATCTCATCTACAAGATGTTACACCAGACACAGCAGTGTAAGATTTTTCAGCTGTACAAACCCATTCCACTTAAGAAGAGTTATTCTGGAATTGCATTCAAGTAACTTATTCCAGCACAGACAAAGTCTCTTTTACAGCTTCAAAACTGACACTTACGAGACAGTCTCTGGTATGTCCTCTGGTTTCTTGAAATGGCCTGCCCACAACAAAAATCTTTTCTCCCAGTCTGTAGGCTTGTATCCAGGCACCCTCAAAGGAGATTGACCTAAAAAAACCCAGCAAAATGCACAAACAAGACAAAACCAAAAAAACAACAATCAGGGAAGCTGGATGGCCAGAGCTGTAACAAAAGCAATTAGGGTGAGCAATACAGAATTTCAAATATGAGTGCTAGAGCTGGTTAGAGAACAAAAATTGTATCGCAGGTTGACAAACATGGAAATGTGCATTAAACTGAGCCACGTAAAGAAAGCTAAATCTATCCCAAGACTTCTGTATTTGTGTGTCTAAATGTGCAGGAGCTGCTCCAGCATCTAAACTTCCTAAAGTGCTGCGATATTACAGTTTTTCTATTACATTTAAATCAGTTAAAAAAAGAAAAAAAAAGAAAATTAAATGGAACAGTTACAGAAAAGCCACTGTGCTGCACTATCTGATCACAGAATGTTAACCTTTTCAGGCAGGGAAAGATTTTATCCTATTGAAGGTCCAAATAAACAGACAACCATAGGACAAGACCAAACCCTTAATTTTCAGCTCAGTCTTTTAAAAACCATATATAAAATATTCACAATGCAATAGAGGAAAGTTTTCGTACATAAAATACCATTAAAATCTAGCAAAGGGCAAAGATAAGACAGCTTTTTCCCTTTCTTTTTTTTCTTCTAAACAATGGGAGGTATCCTGTATGGATTTGTGCTTCCTCATGGATTCATGAATTATCTAGGAATTGGGGTGGACACACATTGCTGACAATGCCAGGTTATTAAAAAACATGAGGTCTACCCCAAAGAGCCGCAGGGCTTCAGAATCCTGAGTCAATGAGGCCTGTGAGTGAAAGTCCTTGTATATAAACAGGAAGCAATTCCACTTCACACACAAATGACAGACTCTAACCTAACTGTTATTAATTATTACCTAAGCCTGAGGAGTAAGTCCTTGGGGTTTCATAGTGGTTTTGGCAAGATGTTCAGTAAGAGAAAGGAAAGCAGCATAACTAGCAGTGATTGGGAATACAGACAAACACAACAGCATTACTGTGCCATTGTATAAAACTGCAACTCCAGCATTTTGGAAAGCATGTGAAATACCGATCCCTCATCTCAGAGGGAGCTGAAGTAGAACAGGCACAGGGAAAACTGGAAAGGACAACCACAGGTATGGAATGGCCACCACATAAGAAACAGTGTCACAGACTGAGACCCTTTGGCCTGGAAAACCAGTAATTGAAGCTCATCTCAGAACAAAAGAGCATTGTAAATGACATTGGGAGTGTGAGCTACAATGAACAGGCCCTGTTTTGGAAGGGGTACTGAATAAAGGAAAATCAGATTATACAAAAGTACACATCGGGTTAAAAAAGGAATACAAGACAGTACTTGTTTTTCTCACAGCACGCTTAAGCTGAGGAATTCCTTCTTGGAGAATGTGGATGCTAAAAATACATCCAGCTTCAAGAAACTGGGCAAGTTTATGGGAAAAAAAAAAAAATCCAGTGAGGGCCATTAAACACAAGGATGCCACCTGTGGGACGGTATAGAGAAGAAAAACTATGTTTGCCGTAGGTCACCATTCCCATTAGTCTTCACAAAACCATAAGGGACCTCCTTTACCGGGCACTGGTGGAAACATCACACTTTTAAGGAGACCTCTTGCCTTGCCCAGTACAGCTCTGTTATGTTTTTAAAACAGAAGCATGCTAAATGCTTCACATCTGTGTGAAGCTCCTTTATCCTGCATCAGTAGGCCATAAGGGAACCTGTTTTACAGGAAGTCTGGTTAGAGCACCGTTATCTGTCCCATATATAGTGAAAAAATGTTTCTGAGCTATCCCTGACCAGCTCCACCCTTAAACACAAACCAAGGAAACGATTCAGACTCTCTCCTGCAGGGCACGTTCATTTTTGGGAACAGCTGGAACTGCTGCACTCTGAAAAACTGCAAAAGTATTTTAGCGCATACAATGTTCCTAAACATTAATAGTTTACACTGGGGCTGAACAGCCAGTTCCAGAGCACAGCTGAAGAGCCTCAATGTAGGAGTGCACGCCAGATAAGATACTAGTGACCTGCTACAAAGTGAAAGCTGTGTTATCACCACAAGCAGAAATATTGACCCCTGGCTTTGTTAGAAAACAAGACTTCATTGCTAAATTTAATGCTCAGTTTTCCTGTCTACAGATCAAAACTCACTCTCACAAAATCAGGGACAGTAGCATCTATGTTCAGATGACTGCAGCATGGATATCCGAGTATTTAGTGGCATAAAACATAGCAAGATCTTATAAAAAACTCTTACTCTTTGACTGAAGATGACTTTCTTCCTGGGGTTTAATGCAAAGCCTTCTGCTTATCTTCAGATCCACTCCTTCGGTCATCCTCAGAATTGAAGGAATATTTCTTCCCAGCAGTTTAACAGCCCTATCTAGAAGAAAAAACAGAGGAAGCAAAGAGGCCGAATTTCACTCAGAGCTAGTAGAATACTAGTTTTCCAATGGAAATGTTTGGGGTTTTTTTTTAACACAAGAGAAAAAAGGAAGAAAAACAACAGGTACAAATGTAATACAAGGCAAAAAGTACCAGATTTAGTTGTAATAGTTATGAAATTAAAAGTTGTCTATAAGCTATGCCATAAACTTGTCCATTAACTTTGATTAGAAAAATGAGAATGCAATGAACATAATTTAAAAACAAACAAAAAAAAGGAATACAAGGAATACAAGACTATAGCCTACAAACATAACACATATCACAATTTCCAGGAACTCATCTATTCATATGTTTCAGGTACACTTTGGATGGTGCTATTTCAGGGACTGCACACCAGCATTCTACCAATCCTTCACATCCCAAAAGCAATGACAGAGTCAAGGAAAAAGACAAAAAAGCAGAATCTTGCTGTACTGAGACATTAACTACTTTCTAATACATTAGAAGACATCAGGGCACCTTATATACAAGAACAGACTTTCTAGAAGGAGCTTCTAATTCATCAAGATTTTAAAAATCTGAAAAAAAACATGCATAAACAAACCAACACTGAAGGTCAAAAAGGACACTTAAAAAAAAAATTTCTTTTTGTCCTCCTTTACGCTGTCTGAAGGTAAATTCTCTCCTAAGAGAAACCCATCTCGAGGCATAATGCATTCCCGCTCTGAAAAAAGAAATCATTTACATTTACAGGCGACCGCCCCCAAGCTGAACCAGATCCTTTTCAAGGTCTTCAGAGAAGGAAAATAAGAGGCACAGCTCCATTCCTGACACTGTTTTTAACGCCAGCCCATCAGACGAGGCCGCTCCCGCCTCGCTTCGCCGCCGCAGCGCCCGCCCCGCTCCGCGCTCCCACCGCGCCGGGCCCGGCTCCGGCTCCGCGGGGTCCCGGGGCAGGGGGCGAGCCGGCGGCAGCCCCCGCCCGGCCCCGGGGCAGTCCCTCACTCACCGGCGCGGCCCCACATGGCGCTGCCTCGGCCCTGCTCGGCGCCCCTCAATGTCACCGCCGGGCCCCGCCCCGGGGCCGCGATTGGAGGGGGACGCGCCGCGGAGCTCTCGGGGCCGCCGGCGCCGGCACCGCCTCCGGTGGGACGGCCGGAGCCCTGCCCGCCGCTGCGAGCGGAGAGGGGGTCGCGGGGCCGCCGCCGGTGGAGATGCCTGGCCGGGGGCCGCTGCGTCGGGGGCCGCGCTCCGGCGGGTCCCGCCCCGCTCCGCCCCGCGCGTCATCCCTGCTCCCCGCCGGATTGGGCGCCGCCGCGCCCTCGGCCGATCCAGGATGGCGGCGCCCAGCGGAGCCGCGGGCTGCGAGGACTTCGCCGAGTTCCAGGTAACCCACACCGGGATGGAGCGGGCGCTCCCGCCGCCCCCGCCGTCCCCCCCCGCCCCGCGCGCTCCCGCCGCCCCGCGCGCTCCCGCCGCCTCCCGCCGCCGGCCCCGGGGCGGCGCGCGCCCCGCGCGCGGGGCGGCGAGGTCACCCCATCCCCGCGGCCGCCGGGATGCGGGACACGGTCCGGCCTTCCCTCGGCCCGCTGCCCTGGACCCTCCGGCGGGGAGCGGGGCAGGGGATCCACCCGCACCAAGGCCCCTTCCCGGACGGAGGGCTCGCGGCTCGGGAGCCTCCGCGGGCGGCGGGAACTCCGGGGGCGCCTTCGCGTCGTTTAACTGAGCGTGAAGTACCACGCGTGTCTGCAGCGGTGCGAGCAGGGCCCGGGGGCAGTGGGGACCGGAGTGTTTCTAGAACACAGAGTCACAGAATGTGCCGATTTGGAGGAGACCCAACAGGATCATCGAGTCCAACTCCTGGCCCTGAACAGGACACCCCAAGAGTCACACCATGTGCCTGAGAGCATTGCCCAAACGCTTCTTGAACTCTGTCAGGCTCGGTGCTGTGACGACTTCCTGGGGAGCCTGTTCCAGTGCCTGACCACCCTCTGGGTGAAGAACCTTTTCCTGATACCCAGCCTAAACCTCCCCCGACTCAGCTTCATGCCCCCCAAAACAGTGGGAGTTTTTATTTGAAGTTTGCAGTTTCAGTTCAGGTTGTGCCCAAATTCCTTCCTGGAAGTGGGGATGGGGACTTGAGCTGGAGGGCTCTGCTCTCCAGCCTGTCCTTACTGCTGGCACGGCCAGGGGGTCTATAGGACGCACCAGTTACTCAGCCCATCTCTGGCCTTTGCTGCCAAGGAAACTCAGTGGTTTGCAGCACATACTCCTGCATGAGAGAATTGTTTCTTTGATGTGTTTGTAACTCCTTGTAATCAGTCCTACTTAGTTTTCTATTGAAAACCTTAATTGTGCAATTTTTTTTTTTGGTAGTAGGTTTTTCTCAGAGGTAGACTCAAGTATCAATGTATATTTATTTTTTTTAATACAGGAGCTGCTCAGGGTGATGAGGACGATCGATGATAGAATTGTCCACGAATTAAACACTACGATTCCAACAGCTTCCTTTGTGGGGAAAGTTGATCCTGGCCAGACATGTAAACAGCTGTACGAGTCTGTGAGTGTGCACACCTTTGACTATCAGCTCACTTCCTGCTGTTTTATCATGTTCAGGGCCCAGCGTCTAAGGAAAACACTGCCTTGTGTGTATTCATAACTGGCCCCTCAGCTTCTCTGCACATCTAAACCACACACGTGCAACAGCTGCTTCAGTTTAAAACCACGCTTTGTTCTGCAAAGCTGATCCTTTGGGGAGCACTTCAGGCTTCAGCAGATGACATTAGACCAGTCCATTTTTCCTTTTAAAAAAGGGTGCTAGCGTGCTTTTCCTGCTATTCTGCAAGACTCCCTGTGTTTACCTTTGACTTTTGATCAAGTTGGTAGCTGCTGCTCAAAGCAATGTTGCTTCCAACATGTGAATTATGGACTCAAAGGGATTTCTGTAGGTACAACAATACTATGACTTTAGAAAGTTTCTCATTTAACTTGTCGCTCAGAGTTTTTTATTCTCTGCTGAGTTGTTGTGACTTACTTTCTCTCCCCACATAGTTGATGGATGCTCACACCAATAGAGAAAGAATCATCAAAAACTGCATCGCTCAGACTTCCAGTGTAGTGAAAACTCTCAGAGAAGAGAGGGAAAAAGCCCAGGATGATGTAGCATTATTAAAGCAACTCAGGAAAGAGCAGACAAAGGTGAGTGTGGGAGCTTTTCAGAGATCTCTTATAGAGGAAGAAGAGGGTATCTTTCCCAAGTGGAAAGATCAGTGTAATGGAGAGAACCTGAAGTGGATCCTCACTCAGGTAGTCTTTTCTGGGATTCTTGTTGACTGGGTTTGTGAGAACCATTTTCCATAGCACTCAAGACAGAGCTGCTTTTATCCTGCAAGTGAAGCTTTTTCTGAGGTTGTTACATAAATGCCATAGAAAAACACTTGCACTTCCCCAGGCTGGACTCTAACCTTCACTGACTGACACCACTGGGGTACAACTTACTTTTCCTGTCCTCTACAAGGAGCTGCCAGGCAACCTTGAATTCCACTTAACCATCATTTTTTTTATTTAGTATTTCTTGGACTAATATTTTGAGTAGCTTGTAGTGGTGTGAGAGAGACCTCTGGCTTTGCATAGGGAATTCTAATGAGCAAATGCCCTCCCAACCAAGAGGTGAACAGAGGTGATTAGATGGAGTATCAGTAGTGGAGGAAGGAGCCCCTCTGAAGTTCTTGGTCCCATTCCAGGGCCACTTTGATAAAGGAAAGGATACTGAAAGAACTGTGTGGCAGACGAGTGGTTTTATTCTTGAAGCTTCACTTACGAAACTGCTAACAAGCATCCGTATTAGTTTGGGTAAAACTAGAATGGTAGCTCAGTATTTTCTACAGATTTTGTTTGCAGAGCCAATTCTTTAAATTGTTTAGATACTGAGCCCAGAACTTCTCACTGAAACCACTAGGAGGGTCATAGTGATAATGTTTAATGATTAGAGGTGATTTTAAATGTTAAAAGCAGTCCATGATTTGGAAACATCTCAGAAATTTTTTCATGAGATGATCTCACATTTGCACTTGGACTTTATGAGGTGTAATCTCCCTGCTTTTGTTTGTTTTTTTGGTTTTCCATGAGAGTTGTGTTTTTTCTACAGCTCAGAAAAGATATCTGACAGAACACATCCTAGTTTTAAGGTTATGCATTTCAAATGTATATTCACTCGGTTGCAATACAGATCTTTTTTCTCTCTTTATATGTGTTTCTCTCATCGTGGTAATGGTACAAATTAGTGGACTTTATCCAAAATTATTACTTCTGGGTTATTGAATGAGAAAACTTGGAGTAGTAGTTTCTTTGAACTGCTGAAGATACTGTGAGTGTTTATTTTATAGACACCGTGGTCATCTAGTCAGTCTATGGATGCTGGATTGTTATTTCAAACAGTTTGAAGTCTGGTTGAGTAGATAAAAGTCCACCTAACAACTCTAGTTGCTCTGTGTGCCTGGACATCCTACTTGGAAGGTTTTTGATGGGATTTTTGTCTTGGCTTGCACCTGTTCACCAAGACTAATTGAAACCGTGTATTGAAAATGGATCAACTCTGATCCTTAGTCTGTTGTGTTAAGGGCTCCCAACAGAAACACATCCTAGATGTGGGCAAAAATGGCAGATGGTTCTCCTATCACTTCAGGGCCAAATTACTCCAGGTCACCTGAACACAGCAGATGTAATAGATGCAAAACCCCAGAGATTCTTACATTTCTCGTGGGTTGAGCGAGTGCTCACGAACTGTGTATTGTGGTAGTTCTTGCTGGAGCTTTTGCCTCTGTGCACACCTGATTTGTCCTGCTGTGATGATATGAAACATTAACTGGTTCAGATCGCACGAACATATGTGATCATACTGCAAACTCTTTTTGCACAGAATAGGCGGCAAAGGAAGTAGAGAGGGTCTCTTTATGATCTTGACTTTGAATCCAGAATCTGAGATCTGTGTTCAATCCTAGCTTTGCTGCCAGCTTTCTATATGACTCTAATAGTACAAGAATGACAACTCAAGACTGCAGAGCTAACCCGAGCCCTGGCATTCTCTGTGCTGAGTTCTTGAATTAGGTACAGTTATTATGTCTGCAAAGCCATTAATGTTAATCAGTTCATTGCTAACAGATCTTAACAGGCAATATTTAAGACTAGAGCATTAGTAATCAGGAGCTGCTTCTGCTGGGCTTGCATTTCGAGTCTGCCTTCACCGTGCCCTTGCAGACTTCCCTCTGCCCTGGGCATTGGCTGAATGGAAGGACCAGGCTCTCAGGAGAGAGCCCTTTAGTTTGCACCTTTGGGGGGCATGCACACCTGGTGCTGGGGTTGTGAGCTAGAAAGTTGCAATGGTAGTAAATACTGAAGGCTGCAGGTAGGCCTGTTTGACAATAATCTCTTTTTCTGTTACTTTCTGCAGTTGAAATTGATGCAGTCGGAGCTCAATGTTGAAGAAGTGGTAAACGACAGAAGCTGGAAGGTACTCAGTCATTTAATCATGATGATGTTCTGTCCCAATAGACAGTCCTGCACTGGAGGTGTGGGACCGGTACCTTATGAAGCAGGTTAATTAGAAATATATGAGGGCAGTGCTGGGGTAAACATTTCAAGTCAGTAATTTCCTCAGTTCCCAGAGATCTAAACTTTAAAGTTGTACTGCAGGGAAAAGTGTTTGATTTAGTGGGGAGAAGAAGGACTGTGGATTATTCCCTGTGTCCCTTTCTCCGCTATGCCCAGTGGCTAAAGGGCTTTGTAGATTTTTCTGTGCTGGCCTACCTGAAAAGCTTTGCAGGGCCTCTGACACTGCCAGAGAAATGGGTCTTTGAAATTTGCCTGTCTGGTGATAACCCAGGGGAAGATGTGGCTGTGGAATTTGAACCTTTTTGTGGTCGAGTTTCTTCAGGCCCGAACTGACACTCCATAGTGCAAAGGGCAGCCTTGCTGTATCTCTCCTGTGTCAGCAGAGGGTGCAGATCACCCTCTGGTTTGATGGCCCTGAAGTCTGTCTCGTTATAGAGTGATCTTAACACTGAGCCCAAATTCTGAGGTGGCTGTATTGTGTCACTGCAGCGTTTCACATCTAACATCCATTTTTGGTTTGTTGTAGCTTTT